TGATCTAAATGGTTGAAGCAATCATTAATCGATGATTGCTTGCGATGGTTTGTTTTCGGAATTTCAAGGTCGGATTTTTTATAAGGGTTCCCCCCCATCCAAACTTATTTCAAATGTTTTTGCAATAACTTAAAAAGTAGTGAAGGGATTTTGTAAAAATGATTGGGATTTGCTATGCCTTAGCATTGCTGTTACATGTATCTAGATAATATACATGTGAGTGAGGCAATCGTCATCCTTCAAAGTTAGATGAAATTTTTTTTTAATATATTTTCATTCACAAGACAAGTTTACTAAACTATTTCAATACTTTAAATATCTTTTTGATCAAAAACTTTAAATTCTGACATGTATGCATGAAATACATATATTTGAAATATATATTTTAAAGAGCAATATAATTATTTTATGTTGTATTGAGATAATATTGCCATAGGTTTAAAGGGTTGCATTCGATTGAAACGGTTGCAAGAAATTCAATCAAAATTTTCAAGCGTTTACAATGGTTACGTATGATTGAAACATTTTCAATGAGTTAACAACCAAAATTGTAATGGTTGCGTTGTAACAGTTGGCATGGTTGCATAAATGATCGGATCAATGATTGTACAATGATTGGGCAACGGTTTAAATTCGGACTTTCAAGGTTGAATTTTTTATAAGAGATGCTTAAAGTATTCACATATCAAATATGAACAAAATCGCTCCACTACTTTTCAAGTTACAGCAAAAATCGTAAAATGACGTGTATTTTTTCTATATTTACATTTCTAGCTTAATCAATGTTTTATATAACTTTTTTACATTTAAAACATATTGCTATTACAGTTTTATATGCAGTACCTAAATTACTGTAAAATCGGCACTAAAATGGCCGCCATTTTTTTTTGAGCGACAATTTTGAACATCAGTTTTCGAGCAGAACTTCTACCCCCATTGGGTATATGTATACAAAATATGAACAAAATCGGGCCAGCGGTATTTGAGTTATTGCCCGGACGGACAGACGGACGGACGGACGGAGGCGTTCCCTATATCCCTCCGAACTTCGTTCGATGGGATAATAATCATCTTTCGCAGTGTTTATTTGAATAACCATATTGGGATTTCCCAGTATGAGATAGTTTTGGTATTGGTATTGAGATTCAAACAGATATGATGCAGAGATATAATCATCCTTTGCAATTTTTATATGAATAACCATATTGGGATATTGGGATTTCCTAATATGAGATCATATTTGTATTGGTATTAAGATTCAAATAGATATGATGCAGAGATATAATCATCCTTTGCAATTTTTATATGAATAACCATATTGGGATATTGGGATTTCCTAATATGAGATCATATTGGTTCAAACTGACATTTAAACAAAAGGTATGAATCCAAATATGAGATCATATTGGTTATGGTACTGATATTCAAACATATTTGATACAAAGAACTAAACATCCTTTACTATAATCATACAAACACCCATATTGGGATTCCAATTCACCGTCAAATAGGGACTGTGAATCCCAATGTGAGATCATATTGGTACTGGTATTGAGATTCGAACACATTGATGCAGAGAAATCAACATCCTTTTCTCTGTTCATATAGTACAGTGTACTATATACCATATTGGGATTTGTATTCGAAGACAAACTGACATTCAAACAGACGTTATGAATTCTAATATTAGATCATATTGGTAGTGAGATTCGAACATTTCTTTAAACATCTTTCACTTTGTTTATAAATATAAATATTCATATTAAAAAACTGGGATTTATTTAAGGATTCTAGTTGGCATTCATATAGGGATTATTGATCCGAATTTTAGATAATATTGGTATTGGTATTGAGATTCAAGCACATTTAATAATAAATGTGTGAACATCTTTTGCTATAATGATAAAACTATTCATATTGGGATTCAGAGTTTAATAATCCCAATGTAAGCTAATTGGTATTGATATTGATGTTTGAGCACATTTAATAAAGAGAACAAAACATCGTTTGCTATATTGATATAAATGTCTATAATGGCAAATATTTAGGGATTTCAAATGGGATTTAAACAGACTAAAATTTATACAGAACCATATTCTGACATTCATATTAGGATTAAAATTAACATTCAAACAGAACTTATGAATTTTGAAATGAGAGCATATTGGTTTTGGTATTGAGTATCAAAGCTCACGCTGTGTTTTAGTTTCAATTCCAATATGCAGCTAGGTTTTACCAGCTTCTTTTTGCCTGTATTCTCTGATGTATTAGGGTTTTCACAGATAATGTGATACACTGAACATTGAAATGTTTTGATCAGTATACAAATGATCCACTAGCCAGATCAAAGTCCTTCCTGATGCTTAGACTTTCATCTCTATGTTAAGTCGTTATAGTCTTCAATGATAAGGTTTTTTTATTTTTATTTTTTTTTTTACTGGTATGGATAGTATGTTACTGAAATGAAAGTAAACATAAATCATTAAATGTCTTTATAACCCAGAAAGGAAACTGACTAACGTCTTGGTTGCATACCCTTAAGAAAAAAGCCATGGTAACCATGGTATTCCATGGTGCGCCCATGGTAATCCATGGTTTTCCATGGAAATTCATGGTTTTCCATGTTATTTTCCAAGGAAATTCATGGACGCCCATGGTAATCTTCCATGGATATTTACCATGATTTTCCGTGGTAATTGTTGGTTTGGTAATTGGTTTTTAATGGATGTGTCATGGAGATGTAAAATCAACAATTTTGGTAGGATTTGTATTTACCAAAATCTCCAAAATGAATGTTTTGATGATATATCCCAGTTAGACTGAGACTTATCATTGAGAAAAAGGGTGGACATTTCATTTTGAAGGTATAGCAAGAACATTCATCGAATGTTAGACTCAGCTTACAAATGAGAAAATATGTGAAACAGCAGAGCAGAGAGTAGGCCACAAGATTTCAAAAACAATTGTGCAAAGGTCTTTTGTGTAGATCAAGACTAGATAGAGATTGCTTATTTTTTAGGCCAAACACTTCTTTCCTTTGAAAAAGATTAAGTCAAACTAGCCCAAGCTCTGTTTTATTTCAATACTTTCTTTAATTTTCAGTTTTAAAAATCAATATGAAGTAATTTAAGAAATAAATAACTCATTTTCTTAAATTACATTTCGTACATTTGAGAATACAATCAAAAACCATGGTTTCTTTCTTTGAAGTTGAGAAAACTGCAATCAAAAGCCATGGAAGACAGTTGATTGCAATCGAAAGCCATGCTTTTCCATGGTTATTTGTTTGATGTTTTGGAAAGTGCAATCAAAAGCCATGGTTTTCCATGATTATTCTTTTGATCTTTTGAAAGTCCATGGTTTTCCATGGGCTATTTGTTTGGTCTTTTGGAAGCAGAAAAATGAATAATACATTATGTTTCTAAATGAACTTCTCCAAATTAAGTCCCATTCAACTTTTATAAGCATATTATCTGAAAAAATCCACAGAAAAGTATATACTTTTACAGAATTTTGACTTGAAATTGAGATGGGGGATTAAACACAAGCATATGGCTGCAAACTGAAATGTTATACCTAAGTGATAAAAATTCAATTTGTCTATGTAAGAATATCATATTTAAAAAGAAGTTGCATGAAGGAAGGGGAGGGGTTTAACAACACCATTTGGCTTAAAACATGAAACATAGTATAAGTAATTAAAATTGATCTGTCTTTGAATAGGAATAAATAATCATTTGCATAATTTTTAAATATTTGGTTGCCATTATTCTATGTTAATTAGGTTTCTTAACTCTCAAATTAATGTCAAAAGATTAATCTCTTTACAACAGATTATAAGAGTTCATTTGCATAATTCTTAAATATTCTGATCTTAATTGTTATTATATATGATAATCTTACTCTTTCTAATGCTCCCTCTTCAGTAATTATTATTGTCTGTGAGTGTAGACAGTGCAAGTCAAAAACTCATTGTTGATCAAATAAAACCAAATAGGATTTACTCCAAGTAAAAATGTTTATTCAGTCTGCAATAAGGGAATCCAGTGAGCTGATTTTATCACTTATTTTGTCTTTTTTTACATAAGTGCCAAAGTTAAATGATAGCAAATCCCAGCAAACAAATTATTACTTTTAATTGTGGGGTCAAATCATCAATTAAAAAAATATTAAGTAAACAGTTCTTTGTCATATGACACTATGTACAGAATGTACTAAACATATATTCAGATTGTAAAAACATGGTTGTATTTCAGGCCTGAAACCAGCTTTTGTCAAGAAGGTTGACTTTCTCAAAGATTTTGGGGTGGGGGGTGTCATATTCTTTTATCTATGATTAATGAGACTAATTCTCAATCCAGCTTGGATTCATTCGTTAAAATGTTGATTCAATTTTGAAGATTTTGGTAAAAACAAAACCTGCCAAAATTGTTGATTTTACAACTCAAGTGTCATGGTAAAAACATGGCATGTTCATGAAAAAACAATTACCAAACCACCAATTACCACGGAAAATCATGGTAAATATTACCATGGGTATCCATGAATTTCCATGGAAAATACCATGAAAAACCATGAATTTCCATGGAAAACCATGGATTACCATGGACGCACCATGGAATACCATGGTTACCATGGCTTTTAACACTGAGTGTTAACATCCTGGTTGCTGATGTGAGGGAATTCTCACTCGCTTATTGGAGCTGCTGGGTACAATGCTTGTATCTGACTAGCGTATCAGTAACTGGAGATTTCATTTAACACATGGGGAAAGTATTGGGGTGCAAATCAACTTTGTGATAAATTTTTCGAATTGTTCGATTGACATTTTTATTGTCATTGGTACTTCACTATTGTTTTAATAAAAAACATTATATTTATGGCAAGAATGTACTCATGGTGAAAGATATGACTGTCTGAATGTATGAATGAGTTCAAAATTTGTAAAAATACTATACATATTAATCATGTCTATGGGAAGAGGACAAAAAATAACTTACATTTTAGCAGCTTCTTTTATAAGCTCTCTACATGTCATATCTTTCATCTGAAATTATAAACAAATAAAATAAAACATAGGCATTGTAACATTAAAATGTATCATATGAGAAAAAGATCAAAAGAGTAAAATACTGTTACATCAACTGCTAGATTTAGACTCTGAGAAGATTTTTACACATTTTAAATATTGCTATACTTTTTCTTAATAGATAGAGGATATCCTATGACTTTTGAGTGATATAGGTTTTATCCACAAATGGATATCTGCAAGAGCAAGCATAGCAGATCTCAATTCAGTATCCATAAGAGTATAAAATGCAATAAATAGTACCGTGGGTACTGGGCTCACATGGTGTTGCTTAAAAGTGAATCATGGCTAAAATGGCAGAAAATAAAAAATGGATGTAATTCTGCCGATTTTTTGTAACAAAATTATTTCATACAACTACTCTTAACAGTGACATGACTTTTTACAATGCAGGACACCTGAAATTATTTGTAAAGCTAGGAAATGGGCCACACGTGAATTTCGCAAGACAAAAATGGCGACTATTTTAAAAATAGGCAAGCTTTTGAACCAGGAGTCATAGGGGAGTTTTCTGTATTGATGTTGAACAAAAATAACTTAAAACGGGAATCCTATTGACAGAGGTTTTAAGGCAAATGGTCCAAAAGTGAATTTTGCGAGATAGATGGACAAATAAATGTTAATTTAAATGGCTGAAAATAAAAAAAAGCGGATAGAATTTTTTGCCGATTTTTTGTAACAATATTATTTTATACAACTACTTGTAACAGTAACATGGCTTTTTACAATGCAGGACACCTGAATTTATTTGTAAAGCTAGGAAATGGGCCAAAAGTGAATTTCGCGAGACGAAAATGGCGACCATTTTGAAAATAGGTGAGCTTTTGAACCAGGAGTCATAAGGGAGTTTTCTGTATTGATGTTGAACAACTATAACTTAAAACGGGAATCCTATCAACAAGGGTTTTAAAGCAAATGGTCCAACAGTGAATTTCGCGAGATAAAAATGGTGGCCATTTTGAAAATAGGCAACCTTTTGAACCAGGAGTCATAGGGGAGTTTTCTATATTGATGTTGAACAAAAATAACTTAAAACAAGAAATCCTGTTGAAGGACTGGTTTTAAAACTGGCCAATTGTTGACAGACGGACAGACAAACAGATGGACAGACGAACAGACAGATGGACAAGTGAGTGATTGCAATAGCTCACCATGTAAGCTAATAAAAACCATATAGGTAAATCATAGAATCTTTTTATTTCATAGTTAGAGGATGCTTAATGATTCGAATCTGACTTTCCAAACAACTGATTGGCAATTGCTACTGTCAGCCTTGATATAGGTCAAATAGCAAAAATCTGTTAACTATTAGATATGGTGCCACATCTCATTGTTTAAAAGCTGTATTTGCTGGTTTAGTGAAAATATGCCAAAACTAGAAAACGGCAACTCTATAGAGTAGCAAATCCCAACAAACAAAACATAAATGATGCAGAAAATGTCTGTTATTGATGCATTGAGGGTAATCGCGAATTGTTAGTCCGTTTTAGGTCACTATAGTGAACATTATTACAACAAATTTTAGATGTTCGCAGAAAAGACACAAAAATGAGGTAAGTCTATTTGCTAAGGGAGTTGCAAATCCCAATGAACACTATATAAATCATTAATCTGTACAGTCACAATGTACTATTTACCATCTACTATTCTAGATATGTGACAATTTAGGTAGAATAAGTGAAGTGCTGCACTCCCCGTACAACTTTACATGTTTGGTACCGTATGAAAGGTCTTGACTTGTACATTTCAAAAATGTATGTTGTGGATCTGGTTGATGTGACATAAGCACTTTTTTATGCATTATTTCATAATCGCTTAGAAAAATATTGATGATTTACTCAGTCTCAAATATACTTTTACTAAAGAATAAACATATTTAAACTTAATGTTTTTACACATTATAAATAATACACTATCATTGATTCAACACAACCATAACAACTATATTTAAAAGCTATTACAAAGCATTAAAAGTTATTACATAACAAAAAAACATGTGAGCTAACAAACGAGAAAACAGCAACTCCACGGAGTAGCAAATCCCACGGAACAAAATATGTTTTGATAAATAGCGGCCATATAAAATTTAAGCCAAATCCATCCACTGGTAATTGAATTATCAAAGATTGTGTTTTTATGAAACATGGTTGCCATTTTGAAATTCAGCTGTCATCTTTAGATTTCTTCTTTAGCATGTCCCAAGGCATCAGCATATACAACTTAATCCAAATCTGTCAACTGGTACTTGAGCTATCGAGGATTACATGTTTAATGAAAAATGCGGGAGATTTCGATAAATAGCAGCCACCTTGAATATTCAAGCAGAGCTCCTTTATCTCTAGGCATAAGTATATAAAATTTGAAGTAAATACATCCAATGGTATTTGAGTAAGGGTGTCGACTTTTGGCTTGCAACCGAAGATACCTCAAGAAAAGCCGGAGATTGCCGAAGATTTTCTTTGCAAACGAAGTTGGCTGAGGGTACCACAAATGTGGAGAGGACGTCTCTAATTGGTCAAAAAGAGAGGCTCGACATTCTCCGTCAGTTTAAATCAGAAAAATTCGGTTGGATGGCTTACCTTCGGTTGTATGGCTTACCTTCGGCTGCATGGCCCAACCTCGATTGATTGGAAAAGATGCTGTCCCATTTGAGTTATCAAAGATTACCTTTTTTATGAAAAATTGCAGCCATCTTGAAAATTCAGCTGATGCCTTTGAAATTTCTTCTGAAGCAGATCTCCTAGTTCCCTAAACATCAGCATATAAAATTGGAACCAAATCCATTCACTGGTATTTGATTTATCAATGATTATTATGTTTAAGGCATCAGCATATAGAATTTGAACCAAATCCATCAACTGGTTTAGAGTTATCAAAAGTTATGTTCTTTTACGAAAAATGGCCGCCATATTTTAAAATCTTGAAAATGTCTTCTTGAGCAAAGCTCCTTTGTACCCAGGCAACTGCATATAAAATTTAATCCAAATCCATTCAATGGTATTTGAGCTATCAAAGAAAACGGGTTTTCTTACAAAAAATGGCCGCCATTTGAAACATGGTGGCCATCTTGAAAATGTCTTCTTCAGCAAGGCTCCTTTGTACCTGGGCAACAGCAAATAAAATTTGAACCAAATCCATCCACTATTATTTGAGTTATGAAAGATTATATTTTTTCCGAAAAATAGCTGCGATCTTGAATTTAGCAGCCATATTGAAAATTCCTTCTCGAGCAGAGGTCCTACACCCATAAGGCATAAGCTTATACAATTTGAATGAAATCTGTCAACTGGTATTTATGTTATTGCCCGGACATACGAACGGACGGACAATCAGACGGATGGACAGCTTTTCTATATCCCCCTCGAACTTCGTTCGGTGGGATAACAAGAACACAAATGTTTAAACATGTCCCCGTGACCAATAGGTGATCCTATATGCTGCAAATTTTTCATTCTGAATGTAACACTAACCACATGAAAAGAAAAGATTCTAAGAGAAAAAAACAATGTGGTCGCCTAAAAATTTAGCAGGACTGCCTCAAGACAAAGTAGTTTGAGATTTTCATACAAGGAATCATTCCTGGAAATTTGAAATTGATCTGTCAACTGGTTTGCCAGGAAATGTGTAGACAAGACTTTACAGACAGGATCTCAGGATGGAAAGTCCAAAATGGCCACCTTGAAATCTACCCAGAATGTGGAAAAACTAATCAGTTCCAAGATTTTCATACTAAGAATCATCCCTGAAAAATTTAAAATTGATTCCTCAAATTTTTAACCTGAAAATGCAAAGACAAGACTTTACAGACATGATTTCAGGACGGAAAATCCAAAATGGCTGCCTTAACATTTACCCAGAATGCCGAAAAACTAACTCGTTATAGATTTTCATATTATAAATCATTGCTTAAAATTTGAAATCAATCCGTCAAACTGTTATCCTGAAAATGGGTAGACAAGCCTTCACAGACATGATTTTTGGACAGAAAAGCCAGAATGGCCATCTTAAAACTTACCCAGAATGATGAAAGAGTAATAAGTTCTAGATTTTCAAACTAAGAATCATTCCTAAAAATCTGAAATTGATCCCTCAAACAGTTAACCTGAAAATACATAGACAATACTTTACAGACAAGATTTTAGGACAGAAAAATCCAAAATGGTTGCCTTAACATTTACCGGGAATGCCAAAAAACTGATCAGATCTAGATTTTCATATAAAAAATCATCCCTGAAAAATTGAAATTGATCTGTCGAATGGCTTTTCTTAAAATGAGTAGACAAGACTTTACCTACACAATTATAGGACGGATAATCCAAAATGGCCACCTCAAAATTTACCCAGAATGCCAAAAAATTAGTCATTTCTAGATTTTCTTGCTAAGAATCAACCCTGAAACTTTGAAATTGATCCGTCAATCAGTTAATCAGAAAACGCGTAGACAAGACTTTACAGACAAGATTTTAGGATGGAAAATCCAAAATGGCTGCCTTGACATTTACCAAAAATGTCAAAAAACTAATCAGTTCTAGATTTTCATACTAAGAATCATCCCTGAAAATTTTTAATTGATCTACTAAATGGTTCACCTGAAAACACGTAGACAAGACTTTACAGACACGATTTTAGGACGGAAAATCTAAAATGGCTGCCTTGACATTTACCCAGAATACAAAAAAACTAATCAGATGTAGATTTTCATACTAAGAATCATCCCTGAAAATTTGAGATTGATCTCCCTAACGGTTCACCTGAAAACGTGTAGACAAGACTTTACAGACAAGATTTTAGGATGGAAAAATCCAAAATGGCTGACAATAAAAAAGTGATTATGAGTTTTTGCTGATTTCTTTTTCCAAAAAAATTATCACATATAACTACTGTTATTACAATAACATAGGCTTTTACAACAAAGTACACCTGAAAGTATGAAAACTCAAAAAACACCATTCAAAATGATACAAAGTATTATCGTGCATCAACTTTTCTTAAAACATTCAAAATGGCTGCCATGACTGAGCTAACAGGTCCAAAACCTAATCAGATGTAGAATGAAGTGAGTTGAACAAGTTTTAAAAGCATCTGAAAAGCCATTTTCTTAAAGTTTGCAGACAAGGATTTTAGCATTTGACTTCAAAATGGCTGAGAGGAAGTAGGTAACGACAATATGGCCCCTCACTATGTGGTGGGGACATAATAAAATGAAAAAATAAAAAATAATTAGAAAACAACAACTTTAAGGTCAATTTATTTTTAAGTCGATACAAAAAATAGCTACCATAGGATAAATATGATATCCTATGATTTATTTAGACTATCATCTATATTAACTCTTGGATATCTCCATACTCACTCATAGAGATTAGCGATATCCACTCATGGATAAAAATGGTATCCCTCAAAAATATTAGGATATCCTCTATTTATCCTATGAACACTAAATGGATATATGGGGATAACAACACAACATAATTTTGTAGAATAATCATAGGATATCATATTTATCTATTTGAACTAAAAGTTGTTGTTTTTGTAATCATTTTTTATTTTTCATTTTATTTTCTATGAACTTATTTTTACAAAATAAAAAATTTAATAACTCATTTTTACTGAGCACATAATCTTGGAACTATATTGTTGCAGATCAAACAGTCAAATGGTTATTTAGCGCCAAATTCATGAAAAAATCAGATACGTCAGTTTAGTGGTGCATACCAAATTTATCTTTTGTCGTTATTCCCCTTTATTACCCATCGAATAAATACTAATACACAATCATATATTTTTACATTTGTAATAGGCTTTAGACATACCTTTATTTTTTCAATTTCTGTTTTACCATTTTGTTTAGCTTTACCGATAGCACATCCCCAATAACCCTGAAAACAAATACTTTATAAATCATTTCCATGAGTAAAATGGTTCATGAAATTATTATATCACAATTTTTGGAAGTTAAATTTCTTGAATAGCTTAACTTGTACACTATTTGATTGAAAGATAACTGAAAGTTAAAAGAAAGTTAAAATAAATATAATGTAATTAATTCTTTTTAGGTGAAAACTCACATGTGAGGTGCCTGAGGGGTCAATGACATACATCTGTGGACCATCAGTAGGCTCGTAGCAAGATAATAACACACTAACACCAAATGGTCGAACCATACTGTACAATGTGTGTGCATGGATATAGTTGGATAATCTATCGGCTAAATGCTGAAAAGATGAAAACATAGTTTAACTTTTTGTAAACTAGATAACAGCAATGCCAAGGCGTAGCAAATCTGAACATCTAATGAGTGTCAGACAACACTGGCAGAAGTCATATTGCAAAATGGCCACCATAGATGCATTGCCAAAAGATATTAACAAAATTGCTCCACTACTTTTCAATTATCACTGGTCGATATCAAGCGAAGGTAGCTGCCGTCACCTTTGCATTTAAGATAGCAGATGAAAATTGTCGATTTTGAAATTTTTAGTTTTTTCTTCCTTCGCTTTATATCCACCAGTGATAATAGCATAAACCATGGATTTTTAAGAGAAGAGTATTTTCCTACATGACCATTGCCTAATGGGATTTCAAAAATGCTTCATGTAGTAAACATTCCAAGAAAAAAATATTTTGCACTTTTCATGTATAAGTTAAAGAAATAACTCAAAAATAAAAACATGATTATATGCGTGCATGTTGATTATAGAAAAAAATGTGAGCAAAGTTATAGCAAAAATCATAAAATAATGGCCATGTACTAGCCAGTGTCCTAAAACAGTATGACATGCTTATAAGTCATTCTATAAATGGACAAAATCACTCTATTACATTTCGCGTTATAGTAAAAAAAAAAAAAGTACCGTGGGTACTGGGCTCACATGGACATGGTGTTGCTCAAAAGTGAAAGATGGCTAAAATGACAGAAAAAAAACAATATAATTTTTTGCTGATTTTTTGCAACAAAATTATTTCAAGCCACTTGCCACTATTTGGACTGACTAAGAGACAGATGGACAAATCGATGTTAAGTAAAATGGCTGAAAAAAAACAGATATAATTTTTTGCCAATCATTCGTAACAAAATTATTTCATACAACTACTCTTTACAGTGTCATGGCCTTTTGCAATGCAGGACACCTGAAATTATTTGTAAAGCTAGGAAGTGGGCCAAAATTGAATTTTGCGAGACCAAAATGGCAACCATTTGGAAAATAGGCAAGCTTTTGAACCAGGAGTCATAGGGGAGTTTTCTGTATTGATGTTGAACAAATATAACTTAAAATGGGAATCCTATCCACAGAGGTTTTAAGGCAAATGGTCCAAAAGAGGATTTCGCGAGACAGATGGACAAATCAATGTTAACTAAAATGGCTGAAAAAAAAGCGGATATAATATTTTGCCGATTTTTTGTAACAAAATTATTTCATACAACTACTCTTTAGAGTGACATGGCTTTTTACAATGCAGGACACCTGAAATTATTTGTAAAGCTAGGAAATGGGCCAAAAGTGAATTTCGCGAGACAAGAATGGCGACCATTTTGAAAATAGGCGAGCTTTTTAACCAAGAGTCATAGGAGAGTTTTTTGTATTGATGTTGAACAAAATTAACTTAAAACGGGAATCCTATCGACAGAGGGTTTCAGGCAAATGGTCCAAAAGTGGATTTTGCGAGACAGATGGACAAATCAATGTTAATTAAAATGGCTGAAAATAAAAAAATGGATATAATTTTTTGCTGATTTTTCGTAACAAAATTATTTCATACATTTACTGAAAATAGGCAAGCTTTTGAACCAGGAGTCATAGGGGAGTTTTCTGTATTGATGTTGAATAGAAATAACTTAAAACAGGAATCCTATCGACAGAGGTTTTAAAATGTGCCACTATTGTTGACGGACGGACGGACAGACGGACGGACAGACGGACAGACAGATGGACAAGTGAGTGATTGCAAAAACTCACCATGTGAGCTAAAAAACATGAATGATATGTGTAAAATCGATGGGGCAAAATCCCACTTGCCCCATCGAGTCTCATCGTGCCCCATCGAATCCCAACTTGCCCCATTGAGCCCTATGAAGTCCCATAAGATCCCACGGAGTCCTATGAAGCAAGTCACGTGATACGTCATATGATCGAAATCCAACGTTGCCCCATGGAAAGAATGAACATGTTCATTCTCGATGGGGCAATATGGGAGTCCTTGGGATTAAGCCCCATCTTGCCCCATTGAGACCCACCGAGTCCCAGGTGTGACTTCATGGGACCTCATGGGACCTCGTGGGACTCAATGGGGCTAGATGGGGCAAAATTCGATGGAGTCCCACAGACTTCATGGGGCAAAATCCCCAAAGGTCCCACGGATCCCACGCAATGTTAAGTCATTGGAGGTCCTAACTTGCCCCATTGGTGTATACCGGGCTAAAATGTTACCTAAAAGTCAGTGTCAAAAGACAGTGTGCCATGCTTATAAGTCATCAGATATTGAATATGAACAAAATCGCTCCACTACTTTTCAAGTTATAGCAAAATTGTAAAATGGTGTGTTACGCCCACCATTTTCCAAGATTGCTGCCATGTGTTATCTACATTTCAACCTTTATTAATGTCTTATCATACTTTTTTACCTTGAAAACATATAAATAATACAGTTTTACATACATTTTGTATTATATTTAAAAACATAAATGACACATGTATAATGTTGGCCATTTTCAAACTGGCCACCCAAAAGCTAAAGCGTCAAAAGACAGTGTGCCATGCTTTTAGGTCATCACATATTAAATAAGAACAAAATCACTCTACTACTTTTGAAGGCAAAAATCATTTTTGAAGCAAAAATCATAAAATAGCATGTAACAGCCGCCATTTTTCAAGATGGCTGCCATGTGTTTCCTAAATATCTACATTTCTACCTTTATTAATGTCTTATCAAACTTTTTTACCTTGAAAATGTATGAATATTAAAGTTTTACATTTGTACCTAAATTACAGTTAAATCGGCACTAAAACAACCACAATTTTAAAATAAAAGGCCATTTTGAAAATTGGCTCCTGAGCAAAACTTCTAATGATATAGGGCACATGTTTATGAAATATGAGCAAAATCTGGCCAGAGGTATTTGAGTAATCGCCCGGACAGACATATGGATGTTACAGACGGATGGACAGAGGTGTTCTCTATATCCCTCCAAATTTTGTTTGATGGGATAACAATATTGAGCCAATGGTAATGCCCAGAGTTATTTAGTTATCACCCAGACAGACGGACGGATGGATGGAGTCCTTTTCTATATCCCCCGAACTTTGTTCTATGGGATAATAAGCAAGGAAGAATAGTTCCTATAAAAACTATTTCAATACTTTTAGTGTAATTCATTTGTATCAAAATTTGATTTTTGTGTGAATGAAGATAAACTTGAACTTCTGAAAAACCTAAAATTTGCTTTTCAGGAAGTGTTTCAAAATTTCAAAATCTAAATGAAAATCTTCCTATAATATTGATATACGAGGCACCTACTTTGATTGGAATGGGGTTGCCAAACTGAGATCTGTAGTTTGATGCTTCATCACGTGCAACTTCTACCAGAGCCTTGGCATCTGCTAGCAAGCCAGCTACTGCCTGCAAAACATACAACAAAACACATTATTACATAATTATGTTTAAAGGCCCCATGATAAGTTTGAAAACATGTTTTTATCATTCGTTTATGTTAAATAACACACGTAAAATAACACATGTAAAATGTAAAATAACACACATTATTAAAAAATTAAGTAATAAGGGCAAACTTTGAGAAACGTGTCAATCACAACATATGTCAGAGGACATATGTTGCACATACAGCAACTATTACCACTTATTTGAAAGTTCTACTTTAACAAAAGTGACTTCAAAATTGGGAAAATGGCAAGGACAGGTCAAATAGACATTATGGATATGCAAAAAATGAATGTGGGTATGACTTAATATGAATAGCAGTTTTAATTTGTGTGGCCAATTCAATTTCAAATTTCCCGCCATTTTTCAAAAAAGTTGATTCGTTTTAACACCATTGCAAAGATTGAACTAGACAACGGCAATGCCAATGCCTGGGAAATCCGATCGAACAGCCATGGCTGGCATTTTTACAAACAAGTGTATAGAAATCGTAAAACAAGATACATAAAAATGGCCACCATTTTCAAAATGGTTGCTCACTAGCCAAATTGTCATCAGAAAGAGTAATATGCTTCTAAGTAGGCACATATAAAATTTCAACAAAATAGCACATACATACATGTAAATGGCAGCCCATTTGCAAAATGGCTGCCCACTAGCCAAAATATCATAAGATTATAAGTGTGCCATGCTTATGAGCATTTGCACTTCAAATATGAACAAAATCACGCTATTACTTTTTTTGAGTTATAGTAAAAAAAACATTAAATGCCATTTTGCAAAATGGCCGCCTACTACATAAACTGTCAGTAGACAGTGTACCATGCTTATACACCTTTCCATAAAGTCACGTCATGAATATTCATAAGGCCGCTGAATACAGCAGTGACGTCACTCGCGGAGTCTTGTCCTGCATAGTACAGCGGGAAAATCAAAATCTGAAAGTACGTGACAGACTTACCTTTTTCAGTGCCGGTTTCAGTGTCACTTATATTCTGCTGATATATGAATGTAAGTTATCATTATATTCTATGAACAATCAAACTCCCATGTACCAATGTCATTTAATAGGTATATTCCAACTAAATATTCAAACAGAGTTCTCATTTACCGGCAATTCTCAAAAATGTTAAGCCATTTTGCCTTTGCTCATAAATATAAGACCCCTTATAACAGATCCGAATATCCTGCATATCCTGCAGAGATTGTGCAATGTTTATTGTAATATTTTGAAATACAATTCCATTTTGTCTAGTTGTTGTACGTTTTTACAAGTATTATTAAAAGCTGTGTTTAATAATAAGCTCAAATACTATCTACAATTTGACAGTTATGCATGTTTATTGATCATCCCAAAGCCATCTTCATCCTAGCCAAAGCCTATGAGTTTACGGGGTCTTCGCTCTTACTCATAAACCTACTACTGTAAATCTTGCTATTTTTATTGAACCATATTTTATCAATGAATATGATGATCCGTTTATTATGGCTCCGGCATCTAGTTTTATTTTTCTTTGCCCAAACCGAAAACATCTACTGTAAATCGTGTTTATGTTTGTTGGATTTTATCAATGAATATAAACGATGAAAAATGATTTATTTTTTCAACAACAATTTGACAAAGATGATGCGGCTATGGCAGATAAAGGGTTTCTCATCAAAGACTTATTAGACCCAATGGGAGTGAGGCTAAATATCCCTCCATTCCTAGGCATGGAAGAACAGATGTCGGCATCAGACGTCATAGAAACACAGCAAATTGCAGCTAAACGCATACATATTGAACGCAGCATACTTAGTAAACAAGGTCAAAGGCAATCATTTATTTGATCGCCCCATTCAGTTAACATTGTTTGGTTCGATTAACCAAATATGGACTAACGCAGCCATGTTGTCACTTTTTCAGCCACCAATTATCTCCCAAAGTGATGTTACATTAGTATCAGCTGATGAGTGTGACTCGGCATATGACTCAGATTAGTGATTAACCTACACAGTCGTGTAAAAATACAAAGTGAAATGTTAATGTACAATCCATTTGGTAAAGTAATTTTATTTACATCAACTCTCTATGATAGCTGACACTGACAGCATATTTTGGAGTGTATTGTGCACTCTTCACTAACTTAAAGATGCACTATACTATAGGTTCTCCCTCAGACAATCGATGATGACCCATTATTATTGCTCATATAATATCTTGCATACTATGAATCTTGTGAATAACTTTTTGGTATATTATTGCCGATATATTGAAATAATCAACAGAACAACCAACCTTCAGAATAAAACACAAGTTAATTCCGCAGCTAGCAAGGGGAATCCCCGTTGAGACGCACATGCCCCTTGAACCAGACAGCCAATCAGATTCATGATAAACAAATTTAACGACCAATCAGATAACAGGAGAATTTTCCCGGTATATTCAAACTTCAGACTGAATTAATTTCATTGAAAATAATTAGATCGGCCAGCAAAATCGCAAAATTAACACTGAAAGCGGAGGATTTGGGACTTCTTCCTTAGTAAGTCAGGTGAATATGTGGTGAAACTCAATATGCAAAAAGGTCCAGAGGGGTCTTGATTGCGCTTTCCTATAGTATAGAGCCTCTTTAATAACTATGTAATATTTTCAAATACAACCACTCTGACACATAAATATTATATAACAATAACATGTTCTTTATTACTCTGATCAACTATATCATATTGTTCTTACATTTGGGGCATCTGGATTTTTTTGATCTGAGATTAGCATTATTTGGATCGGGGTCTCTAATTATTAATTCACAGTCTGGGATGGTTTGTTTTTCCTTGGTCTGTTGCACTTTAACACGAACCGACGCTAACGTATCCTTGTGGTGAGGTTTTATATTTCGGCACAACAGCCACTTAATACATTCTGTCTTTTTCAGTTTATTGATGGGCCCATCAAATGAGGACCCATCCACATCTGAGGTGGTCAGTTTTTCACAGTCACATACCGTTTGTTCTTTCATAGAATCCTAAAAAAACAGATATAAAGCTTTATATTTCTTTGTTTTCAACATCCGTGGAACGATGTTTTATATGACAGATTTATATCCTAATAGGCCTAATGTTGACTGCCACAATAAATGAATTCCAATTAGATCGATAAAAATTTTAAATTGCTAAAATAAACATTGAGAAAAGTAAAAGGGATTACAGTAAATCTTGTATGTCAGCATGACTTGTTAGCCAGCTTGCCGGTGAACTAAAGTTGAACTTTGAACCCCGCTTTGAACGACAACCTCTAACCTAAATACAACACAAGATGTGCAATATTCTCATTCAAAGATATTGGCTAGTATTTCATGCTATTTGCTTATGAAAGGTAGTGAAAATACAACAGGAATAGTTGTTTGTTGATGTACACTTCTATCATCAGTAGCCTAAGCTTAGACTCCCGGGCCTCAGCTTAGACTGGATGGCAGTTTTGAAAGACTGAAATCTCGGAGAGGAAAATTTCAATCAATCAGGACTTATTTGCATCTGATAGGTGATCTGAATGGATTATTTTGAAATAAAACAATACAGGTGAGACCCTTGATATTATAAAGAAAAGATAAGTATAAAATGTAACTCACCATTTTGTATAGTTAACAAGATTCATCCCCGTGCGTACCTCAATGATCACTTGTCAAGTGCCAAATTAGATGAGTAAATCATCCAAAAAAGTCCGCGAGTGACGTCACTGCTATAATGATTGACAGGTTGCCCCGCCCATTTATCGATTTTTTGCCGACTTTATGGAAAGGTGTATAGTATTCACATATCAAATATGAACAAAATTGCTCTATTATTTTTTGATTTATAGTAAAAAATGTAAAATAACACAAGGAAAATGGCAGCAATTTTTCAAATTTGCCTCCTACTACCCTAACTGTCATTTTATATTTGATGACGTTGTAATTAATAATTAAAAAATTTATTTTACAACAACTTTATTTTTGTATTCAGTAGTTAGTTATAGGGGTATTCCTTGCCAGACCATCTCTCTCCTAATATGGTAGCTATAACCATATACATACTTTGCAAGTTTATCAAAAAACAGAAAAATGTTTTGAAATGGTCAATATTGATCACTTAAAAATGTAGTGCTCAATTCCAGTAGGCTGCCATTTTTAAAATTTCACTCAGGAAGTGATGTCATCGACTCTCAACTTTGCATATAACATTAGGTAAGGAGCTATTAAAATTACTAAACCAGCTGAATATTTTCTTCAATTTGGTCTATGATTAAAATCCTTTTGATGATCTCTTCTTTATTTCTAAGTTGACAACTCCCGAAAATATTTTTACACAGAAGATAAGGGCTTATTGTTTAGAAGTGATTTTGTACTTCTTTCCTATACTGTAATCAAGACAAGGTTATAACAGGTGAGAGTCGATGACATTACTTCCTGAAAGAAATCTGAAAAGATGGCAGCTTACTGGGAATGAGTACTACATTTTTAAATGATCAATATTGCCCATATGAAATCAATTTTCCGTGTTTTGCTAAATATATAAAGTATATATATGATTGTAGCTACCATATCAGGAGAGAAATAGTCTGGCAAGGAATGTTCCTTTAAGTCTTAGGTCAATTTTGTATATTGCACATGGTGACCGGAAAAAGGAGACCGTTGATATGAGGCAGGATATATGCCCTTTTGGTCCCTCACTAAAATGTTTGTGAAATATGCTTTTTATTTCTGTCCTAGTTATATTTGATAAGTAAATGCACTTTTTCCTGAGTTTTGATGCATAATTAATCCCTGCTGAGAGTTAAAATAAGTATCACATTAACAAAATACAAAAAGTTGTTATCATAAAAAAAACACCAATGGCAACATGTATGACATACAAAGTAGAAATAACTTTGAGATACATGGATAATTGTTGATTTTAAAAGTTGATTTTTTAAATTGATTTTCTGGATTCAAATTAGGGTATATTTAATCACAAAAGACCTACTTGGACCTACAGTAAAAAAGAAAAGTTTGCAAGGTCAAAGAAATCACAAACTGTGTTCTCTAAGTTTCTCCAAGTTGATGACCAAAATAGTTTAATCTAATTGACGTATGCCAAGAAATTCGCCTGACGGCGCAAATGAGTTAAGGCATTGAATTAAGGCATTAAAAACTAATTTGGAACTTTTACATAATTAAACTGACATCAATGTTACAAATCAAGCTTCCTATCTTACAACACCACACTCAAAGAAGCTCTTTATTCTAACTACATATACTATTTCTATAATATCAAAGCATTAACAATCATTTAATTTATAACATATAAAAATAATTTGTAATGGTTATTTCAAGAACTCTACATGGGGTTTACAGTGCAGAAACTCACATTAGAATAGTCCGCATATTTTGTACATCACACTTAAAATATTCTGCCTATCTTGTATGCTTTCAATATGCATATTAGGTATATATTTTGTACATTACTTTGTAAATATAGAAGTAGTTTTTAGTTAGTCTTAATCAGTAGATGGGACTATACTAATGTAATCATGTAATGATACAATATGTCAATAAAAGTTATATAATACCTGCAAGTCAGGAAAAATGTTTATGTACATACCATGCCTACGTGTCTGTCTATGTGGAATATTCTTTTGTTGGAGCCAGGCTCATAGAGTTTAGATGTCACCAGTTTCTCTACTGCAAACACAATCCCATCTTTACCCCTGATGCCCACAGCAGTCCTTGAAAATATAAACAGGCAAAACATACAGAACTTTTATTTTATTAGTTTTATTGTTTTTTAGGTATGATAAAAAAGATATTCAAATTTACATTCTATTCATTACGAAACTGTTTACACTACCCAAAAAAAATTATTTAACTTTGACGTTTTGGTGGCCTAGGGACACAATCATCAGAAAAATTTTGCTACTGTCACTTCCAGTTCTAAGTATTGCCAACTTGGTAGTTGGTAGTTCCCCCGATTCTTATTCATATTATCTGTACTTTTTATAAAAAATTATTCTTTAGTCCATCTGTTCTGTCAGTTACTGACATTGTCCCATACTGTATATTGTTCAAGTCTATTGTGTACACATGTGTTGTTATAGCTGGGTTATAGCTCTGAGACGGAGATGAGATCTTGTTTCCTCAGTGTAAAGTCTATCTGGTGTGTGCTTTGTGTTCTTTAATTCTAGTACAGGGTGGTCAAAAAAACTGGAAACCCTTACACCATTTTCCTTATATCTTTATTATTTTAAGAAATAACTTTGCACATTTGTACATCACTCAATTTCCTTCCAGCCTACCATATTTCATGACCATCTGATTGATAGTCACCGTGTTACAGCACTTTAAAGAACATTCCTGGTGGCTACTATTGCGCTGAAGACCAACCTGCACATGTCGTCCAAAATGTCCCTACCTATGGGGATATGGCAGAGATAGAGTGTATAATAATGACCCCAGGACAATTGCAGACCTCAAAAGTGAGATCATCTGTATCATTCAGGCCATACCTGCTGAGGAATGCATTTGGATCATTGACAGCTGTGCAGGTTTGCCTCCAGCGTGATGATGGCCAAACCTGAAGCATGTTGTTCAAAGTGCTGTAAAATTGTGACTATCAGTCTGATGGTTATGAAATATGGTAGGGTGGTAGGAAATTGAATGATTTACAGATGTGTGAAATATCAGGGAATAATTTCTTAAAATGACAAAGATAAGAGGAAAATGCAGGGTTTCCGTTTTTTTTACCACCCTGTACCTAGTTTCCTAGCTGTTTCTCCTATATATTATTTGGGGCAACTTTTAGATGCGATCTTATATATGACTTGTGTCTAATTTGTAGTTTTAGCTATGGGAGACAAAACAGTTGTCAAACAATACTTAGAACTGGAAGTGACAGTAAGCAAAACATTTCTGATAAAAGTGCCTTAGGCCACCAAAATGCTCAAAGTTAAATGTAAGTTTTTTTCGGGTAGTATTATGAGAACAGTATCATTTTGGATTAAATAACCTGCCCAATCAATCTCTTAGGTGAATTTACATTCTAGTATTATATACCCCATATGTGTTTAGTGTGAATTTCGTTGAAACTTCACACACTTCAAGATAAACTCATGATCTAGTAAAATCAACATAGATGGTAAAAATCCGATCCATAGTTTGCATAAAAGAAACGATAATTGTTTCAGTTCAAAAATGCCACATCTATGCCATTTCGTCTCTCTATCATGTCTAATATAATTTTTTTATGACATCATACTAATAAGGCGAAATACATGACAACAGTATCCATGAACAAAATTCTTGAATTCTGATTTCAAAAGGTCAATAACATATACAAGTTTGACCATATTAGAAAGGTTAAGCTACACGTTCAAATGCAATCCGTGAACCTAGATGCGTAAGTTCACGCTCAAGTACACGTTTAAGAAAATTTTCTGTTAAGCTACATGTCTGAAACCATGTCAGTGGACGTAGAGCTATATTTATGTGGTGACTGTCAAAGCGGGTTATGGCTCCATGGTTAGCACCTAGGATTCATGTCCGTTAAAGTTGTATTAAAACCAATTAAAGAATCTCTTATTATCTTGTTTTAGCACAAATAACATCCCTTTTGTTATGTTGACTACAAAGCTTGTGATATTTCCCCACACAACATGATGTATTAAGATACGACTGTCAACCTCTGAAATGTTATTTTTGCGTACTTTTTGAGGTTACCTGACCATGACATACTGTGTGACAAGTTATTCTGGCGCTAAATCGAAAAGTTGTTGTTGTGAAATGCTACGAAGGCTGAACCAAAGTGGAAATAAACATTAGTTTCACATTCGCATGCATTCCAATAGCCAAATAAATATTACTAATTGAGTGAACTTCACAAAAAGAAATAGACTAGATGCGAGTAGAAATAATCTTGATTTACGTCATTAAATATTGAAAATTCAGTCAAAGTGATCTCATATTTGAAATCTGCATGTAAAAGTACATCTAGAAATATGGTTTCGAAAATTGTCGATCAACTTTGAAAATTTAATTTTTTTTGAAAATGTGACTTCTTGTTCGGGTTGATTCCCCATAGACCCCATGTTACAAAATCACAAAAAGTGAACTATCTTCTCTTGTATCGGACAGATAACATTTTCTTTTACTGGACATATTTTAATATGCATAACTATTAGATACATAAGGGTTATATGAAAATTGAACCACGCAAATAGATGTAATTTAAGTTAAAGGGAACTTTCTACTATACCCGCCAATCCCGCCATGCTATCTGACTCGAACGAGCCACCTGGTGGTGAATCTGGTAACTACCTACTCGCATCTGCGTTATTCTTGAGGAAAGAGCACTACAATATTATTCATTACATATTCAAGGAATTGATGGAAATGCATTTGTGAAACCGTATATCGATTACTGAAAATGTTAACCCAATAATTATATTTTGGCCTTACAGCATTACATTCGGGTTGAAAAGTTTTGATCCCCAAAACACTGGCAATGTTTGCTGTTGTATAACTTACATGCTTTCAATAGCGTTTCAGCTCAACTGATTCCCCACTCAATTGCAAGTGATTATGATATTATACCCTTTTCAAAATTGATGAAATTAGCCTTATCAAGCTATAATTGGCCCAACATAAGAGTGATTAACTCGATTTTGAAAGCCAGGTTTAATTTTTATCTACTAAATCATATTTCGCGTCATGTCACTTGACGAACAGACACATGCTGACTTGAAAACAGACACATGCTGACTTTGTATCCCCGATATCATGATAAAATGAATTTTTGGAATTGTTGATGGTTCACCATCGTAAAGAGTGGCTTTGATACGGTAACCCTTATAAAAAAAAATTTTTTTCCGAAATTCAATGGTTTCATTGCATATCATGTAACCATCATTTCAACCTTGAAGATCAAAGGAAAAATCATTATATCAACCATTCAAAACCATTGCGCAACCATTACTTCACCCAATCTTTTCAACCCTTTTTACATAAAGTTGCAATGATTACGCAACCATTTTTGAGAACAGTTACAATTGATTGCAAACATTGATTGGGAACTGCAACTATTGCAACCATTAATCCTCAAAATGAATGCTCATGGGCAGACCTGTAGCCAGCTTTTGCACTTTTGACAAATTTACAAGGGGATTCATATTTTATAACTATGGCCAAAAATTGGCCAAAATCACTTGAAAAGTCCTCAATATGGTGAAACACTGCATGAATTTGAAATAATGTTGGGCTATGGCTATGTTGATGTAACATGGCCATTTTCATACTTTCATATTTCTCACTTTTCATATTGATCAATCCTTTATATTTCACTTATTATCAATATAACAGGTCCCTAGGTTACTATTGTATCAGTGCCAAATGTTTTATAATCCTTTTGTTTGCTATGCCTTACCTTTTCACTATCTTTGGTTTCAAACCAGTTTTTAGCTTTTCATGTTGTATGTTCAATGTTGTTTTGTATTGTGTAACGTCCATATATGGAAAACATTCACTCACTTGAGTTTGGGTGTTGGCCCAGCCTCAGAAGTTGCTTTGAGATTGTATAGAGAACACTAAGTTTATTTGAAATAGACTATTTTATACATTTTATCTTTTGATTTTTGTTATCTTTATATCGCCACCCACGGCCTTAGCCCCGGACATTACATTGATATTATTAGTATGTTTTTTTAAGTAAGCATGTCTGTAGTCTGCAGTCTATCACACTCTTCTCTCATTAAAGAATTTTTTTTGGACTTTGTGTCTCGGATCTTCTTCTCAATGACAAGTCTGACGTCACTTCCAGAACAACAAAAAAATACACTTATTTGTATATATCATTTAATCTAATCCCTAGGATTTTAAACACTTATTTCTATGACTATTGCAATCACTTATCAGGTATCGTTTTTAAGGAGAATGAAAAATGCAGAAATCTTGTAAGAAAATAAGGATTCTTTTTTGTTTCAATTCAATATTGCTTAATTTTGCTGGCTTATTTTCATTAAGAAAATTGTAGAAATACAAATTAAGATTTCACATTATTGAATTCAGATAAGGTACAAAGACAGAGCAGCAACAGTTGCACAGACAGAGCGGCAACGGTTGAAATGCTAATTATAACCATTGAAAAGCTAATTATAACCATTGAAATGCTAATTATAACCCTTGACCAGCCAATTAGATAAAGTTCTGTTTTGATAGTTTAACAAAATCATTACAAATTAATTCTTTTTTTAAGAATTATTTTTGTCTGAATAATTTATTTTTGAATTCTCCCTACCATAATAATGACACAATCATAGTAAATTAGATGAGATTCACATTAAGATTTTTGAAGCCAGCTATGCTCTTGATGAATTCTCTTTTTTCTAGCGATAGTTAACTTAAGTTCATAATACAATTTTGAGACATATCCAACTTCAAGTTCATGCTCATAGGCATAAAACCATGTCTAGTAAAAGGAAATATCATCTATTCAAGTGTTTAAGATATTTCCCTTTCAGTCATTATGATTAAAGTTTAATCCAATTAGTAATTAATATTTTTTGATTTGTAAATGATATTGAAGAAAAGACAATCAATCCGGCTCTTGCCTAATCCAAAGCATAAATACAAGAATGTTGATGTTTCAAAATCATGTTTTGGAAACATTTTCAGTTTAATCTACTTAATTGTTGTAATAAGACTTCTTTGATATTGAAGAAGCAGTTATTTTGGCACTAGCTTAATCCAAATCATAAATAAGAGGCAGGAAATACAATCTTTGATGTTTCATAATATGTATGTATGTACTTTTAGTCAGAAACATTTTTTTGTTGAGACAGGAGAAAAAAACAGAAAATTTCCACAGAACGTTTTGTTGTATTGCTCAGTAAAACTGAATGAATCAAGAAGGAATTTCCAAATAAACTACAAGAATGACCAGGGCCAAAAATGAATACACTTGATTCTCTTCAATAAAATAGAAATACTATCTCTATGAACATGAACTAAGTAATATTCAGTACCAAAAATGAATAAACCTTATTCTTTATAGAAATAATATGCCTATGAGAATGAACTTGAAGTCATATCCAGTGCCAAAAATGAATAAACCTTATTCTCTTCAATTAATTAGAAATAATATGCCCATAAACATGAACTACTGTATTTTGAAACATAATAATGCATTCAATTTACTTGTATGTTCTTCATGTTTCAAATTGTCTCATTCTTAAACTAAATTATTTCCACAATATGGTTGAAAATAGTTGCAACCATTTGGTAAAATGCAACTTAAACAATCAATGGTTTGTAATGGTTGCAAATGATTCCATAATTTCAATGATATGCAACCAAAGTTTTCAACCAAATTTTAATGGTTGCAATGTAATGGTTGGAAACCATTTCAATTGGTTGCAGCAATGGTTATGCAATGATTTGGTTGCGCAATGGATTTTAACGGTTTAAATTCGGAAAAAATGGTTGTTTTTTTCCTAAGGGAAGATAGCATTAATATCTCTAAATCGAGTAAAATGGTTTGAGTACAACTTTAAGCCTGAGTTCAAATCCAGTCATTTGAATACATTTTTGATTTTGATTTTTACTTAATATTTCATATTCAACCAAAATCCAATTACAGGGTGGTCCAAAAAATTTGTATTCGAACTCGTATTTCAAAAAAATATTGATTTTATTGATGAAAACATATCATAATATATAACAGTGAATGGAAATTTAATTATCTTTAATTTGCTATATCATAAGTTCAAATTTATTATAATGCCTGTCAACCAGCGTCTATAATCCAAATGACGTTATTTTTGTTTCAAAACAGGTTTTCAAAAACTTGCAAATAACAATTTTTTTTGTCAAAATAAACAGATGTTCAATATGTCCACAATTTTGATCAATTATAGCACTCAGTCTTGGCATAAACTGGTTTATAGCATCATTAATGCTTTTAAAATAATGAATTTGGTTCATGGTACACCAACTCTGTTAGTTCTCCTCATACATAGTAGTCGCAGAAGTTAGCATCAGGCGATCTTGGGGGCAGTGATTTAGGGCAGTGATCAATATGTCCTGTACAGAGGACTTATTCCTTATCTCATATTCGGATCATTACATTTTCCAAAAAGATGGGGCTCCAAGCCATAGATCCCACAAGACAGTAAAATATTAAAGGAGAATGTGCCTCAATTCATATCCCCTAATCATTGGCCCCCCAGATCACCTGATGTCAATGTCTGTGACTACCACATATGGAGAAACCCAAAGATTTGGTGTATAATGTACTCCTTATATTTGATTTTTTGGTGTAACTTGTCATTCCTCGATATTTGTTAAAGCTTTGAGAGTGTTTTTAGGTGACAGGCGCTAAATACGGCGATCATTGGTATATTTATTCTCCTAATGAAGTAATGTTGCATGATCTCTGGGACCCGAATTCATTTTACATGCATGCAAGATAGGATTGTGGTTTACCAATATAACAAGCAAGAGTCTGTATCAAATATGGGCTACTCGGCCATCCTAGAGCATAGCTAAAATCAATCACCCAAGGAGCGACATGTAATAGCTCATCTACACGTAAAAACCGGTAACTTTCACGCTTACCTGTAGAAAGTAGACTAATCTGACATCATTTTTCTGTGCCTGCATTGAAGTTCACGTTCATGCTTTGTTGAATACGCGTCTGTATATTGCACCAACATGATAATCTCATGTAAAAACCTGTAGACTTCATGCTGGCCCACAAAAAATAAACAAATCTGACGTCATTTATCCGTGCGCACATTGAAGTTCACGTCCAAGTTTTGTTAAATATGTATAGCTCAACCTCTCTATTATATAGGATAAAATATAATTTCTTTATTTTTTTAGATAAATCAGGTCATTGCTTTAGTTTCTTACCCACTATTTTCTACTGCCTTCATAGCATATTCAACCTGGAACACTCTGCCATCAGGGGAGAACTGTGATGCTGACAGATCATACTAGAAACAATAAAGGAAGTGTTATTTTGTATTTATTTAAGAAACATAGATCAAAGAGCAGGTGTTGTATCCCAGGGATTTCATTAGCAGCAGGTAACAGGCAATTTTCTACAGTTGTTTTCACAAAATCACCTGTTGTTCTTAAACTGATTTGATCTTTTTTCCTTTTTATGACCACAATTTTCGTTTCAGACAATTTTTCTAATTTTCAAAGCTCCTATCATTTAAAGGAACATATTGGGCACATTTTTCTAAAAATTCAAAATATTCTGACCAGTGACCTTTCGGATATGCTAAATTTTAACTTTTTTCAGTTACAAGTTCTGATAACTACCCTGAGACCTTGATGTTCGCCATTTCTACAGCCTGCCATTACGATGTCATACATTACTATTACCAGGGGTATCGTTCTTGAATATACCCAGTGTGAAACATTGATTTTGTTCACAGTTTATAGAAGGCTTGAATACAGTAATGTTCGAATCTAATACATGAATGAAGTCATCTTCTGAACTCTGGAAACCTACTCTACAATTCGAGAATGGGATTAGCAACTACAGTAAAACTTGTGTATAGTGAACATTTTTTTGCCAAGAAAATATGTTCACTGTAGGAAGGTGTTCACTAGAGAGAGGGTAATTTATACAGAAGTCAGTGGACTATGTGCGTAGGAAGGGTGTCCACTAGGGACAGGTGTTCACTAGAGAGAGGTGTTCACAGGTTTTACTGTACCTCATTTGGAAGGATTGACAGAGCAGAGAAAGTCAGTATGGATATGGATACAAACAAGCAGTACAGTAAAATTTTAAATGTTTGGAACTACTTTGAATTAAAAAATAAGCAATCAAATGACTATATTGCAACAAATAAATAAATAGTACCTTGGGTACTGGGCTCACATGGTATTGCTCAAAAGTGAATCATGGCTAAAATGACAGAAAAAATGGATGTAATTTTTGCCGATTTTTTGTAACAAAATTATTTCATACAACTACTCTTTACAGTGACATGACTTTTTACAATGCAAGACACCTGAAATTATTTGTAAAGCTAGGAAATAGGCCACAAGTGAATTTTGCAAGACAAAAATGGCAACCATTTTGAAAATAGGCAAGCTTTTGAACCAGGAGTCATAGGGGAGTTTTCTACATTGATGTAACTTAAAACGGGAATCCTATTGACAGAGGTTTTAAGGCAAATGGTCCAAAAGTGGACTTTGCGAGTAGATGGACAAATCAATGTTAACTAAAATGGCTGAAAATAAAAAAAAACAAGATAAAAATTTTTGCCTATTTTTTGTAACAAAATTGTTTCATTCAACTACTCTTTACATGGCTTTTTACAATGCAGGACACTTGAAATTATTTGTAAAGCTAGGAAATGGGCCAAAAGTGAATTTTGCGAGACCAAAATGGCGATCATTTTGAAAATAAGTGAGCTTTTGCACCAGGAGTCATAAGGGAGTTTTCTGTATTGATGTTGAACATATAACTTAAAATGGGAATCTTATTGACACAGGTTTTTTAAGCAAATGGTCCAAAAGTGAATTTCGCGAGACAAAAATGGCGGCCATTTTGAAAATAGGCGAGCTTTTGAACAAGGAGTCAAAGGAGGTTTTTTTTCTATATTGATGTTGAACAAAAAAAAATGAAAATGGGAATCTTGTTGACAGAGGTTTTAAACTGGCCAATTGTTGACAGACGGACAGACAGACTGACAGACGGACAAGTGAGTGATTGCAATAGCTCACCATGTCAGCTAATTCGAAACATATGTACTTGTCCTAACTATTGTATATTTCAGATAGTTATATATAATGTGCAGCATGGACGTAGGGCTATATTTTGAGTTGGTACGCACATTCGGGGATGCCTGATTGCGTGGCTGAAGGCCGCGCATCTCAGGGGGTCCAAGGGTATGCTCCTTCCGATATAAATAATATCCTTGGTCTTCACTATGTCACTTGTATTTGTAAGTGACGGAATGATAAAATGAAACTCCAGCAAATTTGCGGTCTAAATTAAAATCACTTCGAATTTTTAAGAGAACTTTTCACCTCTAATAGCAAAACTTTTGTTTTATTTAAGTATTGTATCTATTAGATTAGAGTCTCAGGGGTATGTAGGCAAATTCATTTTGGTAGGAGCGCTCTGTTTATACTTGGTTAACTGTTAAAAATAATAAGAACATAACTTCGACATATGAGTGTTACTTGATGAATGGGACCCTAGTATGTATCCAACAGACTGACTAGAAGTCAGTCTGTTATGATGTACTCCTTTCCTGTGGAAATTGCAGTGAAATTTTTTGCACAAAATTATCAATTAGAGGAACCATTTCTTCAATAAAATAAACATTACAAAATTTCGATTAAATAGTAAGGAGTCATACTAGGGTCCCATTCATCAGGTAACACTCATATGTCGAAGTTATGTTCTTATTATTTTTAACAGTTAAGGTGCTATGGAAGTTAAACAGGAAATGACAAAACAGGAAGTGAAAAGCCATGCTGGATTTTGAAAATTTTTTGAACCAAGATAACAGAGTTCTGTTTGGACCTCCAGTCAGTTTAACTAGTTCCACATATCATTTACATGACCAGGAACACAACGGAAATGGTAAGAATGACCATAAACATGATGAAATAACCTTTTCAGCCCTCTGAAAATGTGCCTGAAAAGCAGCTAAGAGTAGGTGCTCAGGAAAGGTCACTGAACAGAATCTTTTGACTTTTTCAGAAAATCTGCCCAATATATTGCTTAAAATGATACAATTTAAAAAAATTTGATATCATTCTTAGAAAAAGAAAAAAATGAAAAAAACTGAATCGAAAATTGATCGATTTACCTTTTTACCACAGCCATTATTGTTTCAGACAATTTTTTAAAATTTCAAAGATTGTATCATTTAGAGCAATATATTGGGCACGTTTTCTGAAAAAATCGAAAGATTCTGTTCAGTGACCTTTCCTGAGCACCTACTTTTAGCTATTTTTCAGTCACATTTTCAGAGGGCTGAAAAGGTTATTTCATCATTTTTATGGTCATTCTGACCATTTCCATTGTGTTCCCAGTCATGTAAATGATATGTGGAACTAGTAAAACTGACTAGAGGTCCAAACAGAACTCTGATATCTTGCTTCAAAAATTTTTCAAAATCCAGCATGGCTTTGTCACTTCCTGTTTTGTCATTTCCTGTTAACTTCCATGGCACCTTAACCAAGTTTAGTTTGAAAACGCACCCTTTATTATTATATATCAGAACTGTATCAATTATTTGTATCAGCATTGTAAACTACAATCAAATTTTTTATTCTGTCAATCAGTTCATATGGTTAGAATAAGGAAAGAATGTGATGTAACCACGTGTCTACTTACTAGCTTGTTCTATGTCATCCATCGGACTAGGTTACATCGTGGAACGCAGCCGAACAGGACGCTGAAGGCAACAGCATATCTATCTTGATCTTAGCCGAATTTTTGGAAATTTAGATCGTCCATTTTGCAAGCTCACGTGACTGACACGTGACACATGTCTGATCACGTGACTAGTTACTGTATCGATCATGTGACTTAATCACGTGTCAATGACGTGTCACCCAATCATGTCTTCAAGGAAATCGGAAGTAAATATTTTGGAAAATGTTTTCCGAGCATTTGCTACTGATTATAGAAGGCCCAATTACGCAACGAACGAAACTGCTAAATTGTTTTCGTGCCTAACATGCGCAGTACGCAATGAAAGAAACTGCTAAATTGTATTTTTAGAGCTGTTTATTGATCTATTGATTCATAAAGACCTGTAATGATGCATTCAAATAAGACCGCCTCCTAAATGAAAACAGTACACATAAGGTGGTGAAAAAACAACGAACTAAAGTTGAAAGATCGCAACGTTCGCTACTTTGTTCAATTCCGGAAATCCCCAAGGGGCTGCAAATGGGAAGTTATTTAGATTTAGATTTTATAACCTCAGAATACTGGCTTCATTGTCGTGTTTGGCTGCGTTCCATGATGTAACCTAGTCCGATGGATGACATACAAGCTAGTAAGTAGACACGTGGTTACATCACATTCTTTCCTTATTCTAACCATATGAACTGATTGACAGAATAAAAAATTTGACTGTATACAAAAGTTAGGTCATCTATAAATGTTTCTATTTTTACATATACTGTTTCAATATCGTCCTTTGATTGCTTATTTTAAAATTCAAAGAGTAGTTCCAAACATTTAAAATTTTACTGAAGATCTATTATCACCCACCAATATTTTGAATTTGAACAATTGTGTGCACACTTGTCCTGATGATCAGTCCTCGGCTATAACCGTAAAATGACTTTAGTGGAATATTCGACAGGCTATTAAATACCCACAAGTGTTTCTATTGTCTTATTTTGATTCTAAGCTTAGCCTAGATCTACGCCTAAATTTTTGCAAACTCATGGTGAAATTGTTCGGGTCTTCAAAACGATTTTTAGTAAAAGCATGCCAATAAATTGTATCAAAAACATATTCATACAAGGGTAAGGTTTACAATACAAATACAAATTAATCATATATTAAAACACATACCCCTGTTCCAATAGAACTCATGTTTTCAGTGAGAAATTAAACTATTTGGTTGGTTGGAAAAATGCCGGCACCGGAAGTTACAATTACCCAGGATTCAAGTCACTTCCGGGGAGGGAAAAAAGTTCTGCTAAAGTTTTTTAAACTTAATTTACTAAACTTAGATCTAGTTTCAGAACAAAGCATTCATGCTCTGATAGTTGAAATAATGTTAACAAAGGCAATTTTAACTTTTCTAACGTCCAAAGTTGTTCTGAAAAGAGGACGAACAACTCATAATCTCGTTTTGAGTTCAAGAAAATTAGGACTTTCTGGAGCCTGTACAGGTAAGCAACACAACAAGGCTAGATCTAAAAAAGAAAATGCAGCAAACTCCTCGCGTCGAGGTCTCCAAGTCAAAAAGTTGCCTGACCCTCTCACAGATATTGGCCGGATCGTTTTGTAGTAGGATCTCGTAGCCTCAAAGAATAATACAGAAGATGCATCACTAGAGTAGGCCTAGATTTCATGGCCAAACTCCCGTGCAGTGATATATCACTGCGGCGGGCAGGTATCTCGCCGTAAGCATGGTAACTTCGTAATAAACAACTGACGTGATTGGTTCTAGTTCCATGCTCAGGTCGCGTGATTGTAAAATTTAGACAATTTCATTGGTTGAATTGCGCATATTAACTAATAAACAACACGTGCGGTAAACTATTATCAACAAAACTTTTACTCAGAATTCCGTCCGCGGTGATTTCTTCTCATATTTCAATAATTTTGAAATATTTTGACAAAATAATGTTTGGGGAACATTCATGAATACATATTTTATAAGTTGTGTGAAAATTGACCACATATATGATGAAAAGGGGAACTATTTTCCCCAAATTTTGGGGATTTTCTTCGTCTGCCCGCCGCAGTGTCTATACCGAGACACTGCATAGGAGTTCGTTTCATGGCCTGACTTCGTCGGTAGAACTTGAAAAATAAGATTTATCTGAAGATTGGGAGTTCTACTTACCCTCTCATTTTAATGACACCATATCAGCTATGTTTTGTTCATGATGAAGCATAAGCACAGTAAATTATAAAGCATCACAAACAGGTCCTAGAATATAAATAGACTAATACAGCAGACGACCCATTCATACTTTCTGCGCAGCATTTCATTCAGACCAATAATTCAACTGTAGATCATGCACTTTTTCTAGAACTGGTTCAGAACCTGGCTTGTGGGAAGATCACAACAGATAGTGCTCGATGGTGAATCAAGTTCAAAAACTCCAGTAAAATCAGGAGTTCCTCAAGGTACAGTTCTTGGACCACTCTGTTTCCTTGTTTATATCAATGATATGTGTCATATAATCATGTAGACTAAAGTTATAGTATCCCTTTAAATGTGATGTGACGTCATAGCCTCGTTCTGGATTCAATAAATGACTGATAATGTAAAAACTGCTTCCGTTTATGCTCTGTTACAACTCGGTGTTTATTGTCTCATTACATGGCGTCAGATTAAAGTAATTCACGTCAACTTAAGGACTAGAACATTAACTACATTAAGATGGCATACAAGTTGGAACCACCGCCAAATTTCGACGCTACACAACCAAAAGAGTGGAGATTCTGGAAAGCTCGATTCACTCGCTTCAGAACTGCTTCAAAACTTTCCGACGAATCGGAGGAAAATCAAGTCAATGCTTTGCTGTATATTATGGGGCCGAAGTCAGAAACTATATATAACACGTTTACATACTCTGAGACGGAGAGTAAGGACAGATACGCAGACGTTATTGCCAAGTTTGATGAGTATTTCGTGCCCAAAATCAACGTCATTGATGAACAGCGAAAGTTTCACTGCATTGAACAGGGTGACAGTTCAGTTGATTGTTATTTGCGCTCACTGTATGAACAGGCGGAAATATGCGCATTCGACAAAAAGGACACTGAAATTATGCATCAGTTCGTGAATGGTCTTAAGGACTCGGATTTAACAAACAAAATCAAGCTCATGGATTATAGTAAGCTGACTTTGCATAAATGTGTTGAACTTGCACGCATCAGGGAAGCCGTTGGGAATAGTTCGTCGACCCCACAGAATATTGATCACGTGACAAGAAAGGGGCGTGGCCGAGGTAAGACATTCAAAAACAGGAAATTTGAACAATCCAAATCTTCTGGTGAACATTCAAAATCATCTGATTCGCCTTGTGGCAATTGTCTTACTGTTCATAAGCCAAGGAATTGTCCTGCATATAACAAGAAGTGCAATTTCTGTTCCTGTTTGGGTCATTTTAGCAGAGCCTGTCGCAAGAAAAACAATAAAAAGATTCATGAAGTCAACAGTGATCATGATACCAGTGATATCCACAGTGATGATATCAACTTGGATGCAGATTCTACTACAGACTATGCGTTTCTGGGTCAACTACATGAAAATGCAGATTCATCGTGTGATTCTAATAGTGTTTCAGTGCCAGATGAGCCGGCATGGCTTGTCAGTGTGAAGGTAGGTGGTATTTTCACAGGTACATTCAAAGTAGACTCAGGTGCTGATGTCACTATTATGTCCTTTTCTGATTACAAAAAGATTCCAGACCGTCCAGGTTTGTCCCCTTCCAAGACTAAACTTTCAAGCCCAGGGGGTATTGTCAAATGTCTGGGAGTGTTTACTACTACATTATCCTTACCAGATCAGCCTAATAAACGATTCAAAGCCAAGATACATGTTGCTAATACACATGCTGGGATTAATTTACTATCTCGGGGTTGTTCTGTGTCAATGGGACTTATCAAGCGTCTATGTAGCCTAACTTCTGTTGTTAAGAAATTGACTGGTTCTGACATACAAGACAAATACTCTGACTGTTTCGGTGAGATTGGTAAATTGACGTGTGAACCTTTACATATTGAACTTAAGGATGATCTTACATGTAAGCCTTATGCTGTTACTACATCGCGTCGTGTGAGTTTACCATTACTTCCTAAAGTGAAATCGAAACTTGAGAAACTTGAGAGTCAAGGGGTCATATCAAAAGTCACAAAGCCTACGGATTACTGCGCGCCGATCGTGGTCGTTGAAAAGAAAAATGATTCGGAACCTAGACTCTGCGTAGATTTGAGACAGTTGAATAAAAATGTGAAAAAAGAGAAATACATGCTTCCTACTTCAGATGAGATTCTTCACAAACTTAATGGTTCAACTGTTTTCTCAGTTCTTGATGCTTCTAACAGTTTTCTCGGACTTCCTTTAGATGAGGAATCGTCATACCTTACTACATTCATCACACCATTCGGTAGATATAAATTTAACAGAATGCCATTTGGGTTGAACTTCGCTAGTGAAAGTTATCAACGTCGCATGGCGGAAATATTCAGAGGTGTTGATGGTGCTGAAATCGTGATAGATGATATCATTGTACATGGCCGAGATCAGGCAGAACATGATCGGAGATTAAAAGTCGTTATGGAAATCATTCGAAAATCCGGTATCAAGCTTAACAAGCGGAAATGTCGATATTCGCAACCAAGCGTGACTTTTGTAGGTAATACTATATCAAAAGAGGGTGTTTCACCTACTGCTGAACATGTCAAAGCAATCATGAATTTAAATGAACCTACAAATGTGTCTGAATTGAGAAGATTTCTGGGTATGTTAAACTTCTTATCAAAGTTTATACCACACATGTCTACTGTAGCTGCTCCGCTATATGAATTACTTCGTAAAGATACTGCATTTGTGTGGGAGCAGGCACAAAAGAAAGCTTTTACTGATTTGAAACAATGTGTAAGTAAGGCACCAGTACTCGCATTTTACAATGTAGATCTACCTACTAAGGTAAGTGCAGATGCTTCTAGCTTTGGTTTGGGTGCTTGTTTATTACAGAAACATGAATCAGAGTGGAAACCTGTTGCTTTTGCTTCTCGTACCTTATCAAACACTGAGAGAAACTATGCTCAAATTGAGAAAGAGTGTCTAGCTTCTGTGTGGGCCTCTGAGCATTTTAGTAAATTTCTGACAGGACTGGGTGAGTATATTATTGATACAGATCACAAACCACTTGTTCCTTTGATCAATTCTAAGGCAATTGATGATGTGCCTATCAGATGTCAAAGATTACTGATACGTCTTATGCGATTCAATTGTAAAGCTAAATGGGTACCAGGTAAAGATATGTCTATAGCAGATGCCTTGAGTCGTGACCCATTACCAGATACTAGATCTAGCTATGATACAGCTTATGATACTGATATGAATCAGTACTTGTGTTCTGTTGATAGAAATAGACCCATATCAGATCAACTACTTGAGAGTATACGTGACATGACTTCTCAGGATGTACAGTTACAGTTGGTAAGTAAGTACATTGCCATTGGCTGGCCAGACAGTATTAAATCAGTACCACCAGATGTAAAACCATATTTTTCAGAACAGGGGTCGCTTAGCCTATACAATGGTTTGATTACTCATGGTTCTAGAATATTAGTTCCTGTGTCACTTCGTTCTGAAATTTTAGACAAGATTCACCAAGGTCACTTAGGTATAACCAAATGTAGACTACGTGCCAATCAGTCAGTATGGTGGCCAGGTATTAGTAGAGATATCTCAAAAATAGTCAATCAGTGTGAACACTGTCAGAAATATAACCATACACAGAGACATGAATCACTTATTCCTACTACATTGCCAGACAGACCATGGAGTTTGTTAGCAGCTGACTTATGTGAGTATGACAGCAAACACTGGTTAGTGGTTGTTGATTATTTTTCTCGATATCCTGAACTCGTGTGTCTTAACAAGAATACAACTTCAAAGAATGTCATTGATAAAATGAAAAACATTTTTGCAAGATTTGGCATACCAGATTGCGTCAATTCTGATAACGGACCGCAATTCGCAAGTGAGGAATTCGCTTTGTTCGCGAAACAATACAATTTTGTACATGTTACTTCCTCGCCACATTTCGCACAATCAAATGGACTCGTCGAACGCGGAGTTCAAGTAGTAAAGCGCGTTTTATCGCAGTCGGATCCATTTTTGGGATTGTTAGCCTATCGTAGTTCACCACATATGTCCACCGGGATTTCACCAGCTCAGCTTCTAATGGGTAGAAAAATCAAAACTACGATACCGACATTACCAAAGACATTAAAACCAAATTGGACCAATTTGAAACAAGTTGCAAAAACAGACAATCATGCAAAGTTATCTCAGAAATATTATCATGATAGACGTCACGGTGTAAGACCACTGACACAGTTAACTCTGGGGGAACGTGTGCTTGTTAAAACTGATCGGGAAAATGTATGGAGTACTAAGGGCATTGTTAAATCCCTAGAT